ATCTGCACTGCCACGTGGACACCTGTTGAAGACCCCCCTGGCTAGGGGGCTGCGCCACAAACATATATATATTATTTTTTTCTTTTTTCACTATCTCTACACTGTTGTAGCAGCAGTTTGGCAACAGTTCAAGATTTCCCCCTGGCTAGGGGGCTGTGTGACTGTGGCAGTAGGGTGGCTGATCAAGATCCAAGCCAACCCTCCATTATCATCATTACTGCTGTGGCATCACACCAGCAGCATCTTGAAGGCCAAGATCCTTGGTAGAACTTTGCTCTTGGCCACCCAAGAGCTTGGTATCACCATCCTACCACTAACCCACTCTCCCCCAACCTCTTTTCTCTTTTCCCCCCAGCATCTAATCATCTTTTCTTCCCCCCCTAATCTCATTTACTTCTCTCTACCTTTTCTGTATCCTTCTCTCCCATTCTACCACCCTTCTCTCCCCCCTCCCCTCCCCCAACTACAAGCCTATCTCCCACTTTACTTTCCCTTCCTCTTCTCATTTATTTCTCTCCTTCTTCATCACTTTCCCATTCACCCCCTACCCAACTTCGAATTTTTTCTTTTTCTTCTTTTCTCTTCCTCTTTGATGTAAAATTTCTTTTTTCCTCCAAAAATCTGAATCATCTTATTCCCTACACCTTTTCTTATTTTTTGATTTATTAATTTATTTATTCTGAAAATTCAAAATTTTATGCGGCACCCTAAAATCTGATTAGGACTTAGTCATTCTTGCTTTCGGCACACATTTTGACTCCGTGGGGGTAACGAAGGGCTGCCAAAATTTTCTGTTTTCTTCATACTTAGTCTTTTTCAGCACATCTTGACCCCTTGGGGGTAGCGAAGTGCTGGCAAAATCTTCTTATTTTTCTTAGTCTTTCTTCTTCATGGCGCACTTCGATCCCATGGGGGTAACGAAATGCTGCTAAAATTTTTGAAAAACTGCAAAACTTAGTTTTTCTCTTCACTCTTCTCCACCTCCTTATTTATTTATTTATTTATTTATCTATTTATTTATTTATTTTTTTGAAAATTTTAATTTGCGGCATTGTAAAAATTAGTGTGCTTCTCTTAGTCTCTCCCTTCTCTTTGCACATTTTGACCCCGTTGGGATAAGAAAATACTGCCGAAATTTTCAAAAAAATAAGTAAGTTCTCTTTCCTCGCTCTTTACATTTTATCCCTTTATTTATTTTTATTTCTTCTTTTATTTTATTTTCATCTAAAAAATCCACTGTTTACTCTATTCTCCCTCCCCTCCATAGTTATTATTTTATTGTTTTGATTAGGTCACCGCTACCTTCCCCTAACCACCTAAACTCCGGTTAGGGTTTCCCTAGGGTTTTTCTAGGGTTTAGGGTTCTCCTAAACCCCCTACTCTCCCGCCTCCTCCCGTCGGGCACCCTGGACCCGAACGGCTCCTCCCCCTTCGAGCGATTTGGCGCGTTCTTCTCACACGCGACCCGCCAAATCCGGGGTGAGCCGACTCACACTTACTCACTCCGCTCTGGCAGTCCCCTTCCTCTTACCGGCGGGCCCCTCTCCCCACACACCCCCGTGAGCTCTACCTCCCTTTCCCTTCCGGCCATGGAAGGGAGTTCCTTTGAGGAGATCACCGCGGCGCCGTCCACCTCTCAGGTGAGCGTTCAGCCAGCGGGTCAGGGTCTGGCCCATGCGGACACGATGGACCTTCATGCCACCCTCGTAGCGATCCAGGCGCAACTTAGTACGCTTGGACCGTTGCAAGCGCAAATCAATGTGCTTGCCCTTGACGTCAACCGCCTCAAGGGCTCTCCTCATCACTCTCCCCACCGCTCCTATACCCCATCCCCTACCGGCTCCGAGTCCGACTCCCCACGACTCCAGAGTCGGAGACATCGTGGTTCCCCCTCCTCTGCGGGCCAGACCCAACACTCCCCCGCAGCAGTGGCGAGTGTTGCTGCCGCTCAGACCACCCCGTCTGTTGCGGCAGGTCTTCCGGCCCCTGTCGCCCCTGCCGTCTCTACTGCTGCCGCAGGTGCTGCGGCCCAGATGCCACCTTCTGGCCCAACAGTTTCATCGACCCACACCGGTGTTGCTTCCCAGCTTCCCGCACAGGTCGCGGCAATACGGCTCCGCCTTCTTCTTCCTGCCTTCGTCCCCCCACCCCACTGCAGGGTACCGCACAGGCTGGGATTCCTCCTCCCATTGGGAGACCCGCTCCACCCCCTCCACCTCCGACCCCGCGCACCCAGTGAGTGGCCACTTTACAGGTCACCATTGCGCAGGCTCAGGCGGAGATTCTCGCTCTGAGACAACCTCACCCATCACAGGCTGCCTACCCTTCTTCCTCTACCACCCCTTCGGTTCCCATGATGCAGGCTCGTTTCCCTCGACCTGCTCCTCCGCCTCTTCCCTCCTACGTGTCTATCCCGGGCCAGCAGCCCGCGGCCGTTGCCTCCTCACCTGCTGGTCCATCTGCCAGCGGCCACGACCCACAACCTTCCCCCACCTCTGCTCCTGCAGCGGCCTCGACTTACGCCACCGCAGTGCACTCGCCTCGATCCCTCTCCCCCCGCCATCAACACAGTGGACATCCTCCTGTGCGCACCACGGACATTCCCGAATATGATGGCACATCCCGTGTCTCTCGCTGGTTGCAGATAGCAACGCGCATACTCTCTATGACGACCACCCGTCAGGAGTTGTGGTGCGATGTGCTCGCAACCAAGTTGCGAGGCAGCCCTTCCCAAGCATGGGAGGATCATTATACCCAGCGCCTCCGCGTGGGTGAGGTCCCCACTCTTGCCGACTTTGCGGCCTTCCTTCAGGACCGTTTCGGCGCTCGTCATGACGCCACCGACGCCTTAGACCGAGTCACCCAGACCAGATGGTCCGGGTCCTCTGTACCGGCCGACCTGGAGCGTCACATCCGGGTGTTTTGGGACGCTCGCCTTGTTTGTGACGAGACGTTCCTACCGGAGGTCACACTCACCGACCGGTTTTTTGTCAGCCTGCTGACTGACTACCGCCTAGAGCTATGGAGGCGATCATTCTCTTCCGCGGAGCAGGCATACGAGGCCGCGCGTCAGTACCAGAGGATGTGCAGTCGCTTCTCCGTCGCCCCATCCTCTTCGCGGCCAGCCGCCATCTCCCAGTCTCTGGGTACCACCCGAGGCCGCTCCTCATTTGCTGGTCGTTTTCTTCGCCCGGCTCGACCTGGAGCGTCATTCTCTCGGCACTACAGTTCTCTCGAGTATGGAGAGGACGCCTCAGCTGAGCTCGATCCTACCATTGGGGACGCCCCCGAGGACATCGAGCTTCGAGACGTCATCCGGTACCACTTGGATGACGACACGGTCCCAATGGCCGAGCGCCTGCAGATGACCATGTCTGCCATGGGTCATGCGCGCAGTCGGGTCGCACAGGCTGGTTTTCGCACACCCACAGTTCCTCAGATAGACCTCCCGCAGGGTTTTGTCCCTCCTCGCGGAGCTCTATCCCCCGAGGAGCGTGCCGCCCTCGAGGCCCGACGCGGATGCCTTCGTTGCCGCCAGGATGGACACACGTCCTCACGGTGTCCATACCACACCGCCCTCGATCGGTACTACGCTGACATTACTCGTCAGCGTCGATCTCAGTCCCCCCCCGGCCCTGCCCGGCCAGCCCCACCCAGCTAGCCACGGTGCAGTGTACCCCTGAGGCCTCGCACGTAGCCGATTTCCCCACCACCGAGTCGTGGTTTGCCCCTTTGGCTACCCCACCAGAGGATCCTCAGGACATGACAGACGCAGTTCTCTCTGCCCCGTCGTCTGTCGAGGTATCGTCTGCCTCCTAGCAGACCGCCGCATCTAGCGCTTCTCCCCCGAGACTTTCGACGCGTCGCGCCATTCGCACAGCCCGTTGTAGCGCTCAACTCACAACTCGCGATGACGTTGTGTCATCTCTCCTGGACTTGAGCATTCTGCAGGCTCGTCAGGAGCGACTCACGAGACACATCAACGTCCTGCGTCGTCTTCTCGCGCTGCTCTCTGACCCTGATCGCACCCTACCCATCATCCCTATTCGCCTAGGGACATCTACGAGGGTGTATCGCGCTTTATGGGGCTCTGGCTCCCAGGGAGACTTCGTTCACCCTCGCGTGGTTGAGGAAGCTCGCCTAGCTACCTCTGGGTCTCGCTCTCCTATCTCCGTTACCCTCAGAGATAACAAGACAGCGCTTCTTCGATCAGACGGTCCCCGACCTCCACTTCTCCCTCACCCTTCAGCCACTGGATAGTACCTAGGCGCCTCGACGCTATCGTTCCTCCGCATACTTCGACGTGCTGGAGACTGGGTATGACTTTATCCTTGGCACTCCGTGGTCTCGCCGGTTCCGTAGCACAGAGGCCGAATGGGCGACCGAGACACTCGTTCTCAAAACGAAGTGTGGTCAGACCCATCGCATCCCCTTCATTGGAACCACGGGCGACACTCCTCCCGACCTACCTCCCCGGGACCCTCGTCCCTCAGGGTCTCACCCCGACATCGCCTTCACTTCCCCTCGTCAGTTTGCTCACTTCATACGACAAGAGGACGTCACGTTCTACTCAGTGAACGTCATGGATCTTCTTCGCTATGATCCACTTTGTCTCGAGGTTGAGCTCATCTCTCTGGAGTCCGATCCCCCTGACCCTTCCTCCATCTTCGCGGCTCCCATCTCTACGTCCACCCGTCAGCCTGCGGATACCCCCTCCACGTCCCAGGCCCCTGCGCCGTCGACTATCGAGTCCACACATACGTTTTGTGCCGACGCAGACGCTGAGGAACTCACACGGTTCACGACAGACTTAGAGCCCGCCGTTCGCGACCTGATTTGAGAGTACCGTGACGTCTTCCCCCCGTATTTCTCATACAGCGGGATTCCCCCGATGCGCAGTGTCGAGCATTCCATCCAGCTCGTGCCCGACTATCGTGTTCACCATCAGGCACCATACCGACTCTCGATTCCAGAGGCGACGAAACTCAAGCGTCAGCTTGAGGAGCTCCTTCGACTGGGTTTCATTAAACCCAGTAACTCCMCTTGGGGTGCACCTGTCCTCTTTGCTCGCAAAGCGGACGGAACTCTCCGCCTCTGCATCGACTACCGCGGCCTTAACCGTTACACGGTTAAGAACAGCTATCCCATGCCCCGCGTGGATGAGCTGTTTGACCGTCTGGTAGGCAACCGCTTCTTCACGAAGATCGATCTTCGTAGCAGTTACCACCAGATCCGCGTTGCCGCAGAGGACCAACCGAAGACCGCCTTTCGGTCGCGCTTCGGCCACAACGAGCTCACGGTGATGCCATTCGGCCTCACCAATGCACCCGTCACCTTCCAGACGGCGATGAACGACATCTTCAGGGACATCCTTGAAAAATACGTTCTCGTATACCTGGACGACATCCTGGTCTACAGTCGTACCTTAGAAGACTATATCAGACACCTCCGCGATGTCCTACAGCGCTTACGCAAGCATGACTTTTATGCCAAGCTCAGTAAGTGTCGATTTGCCCATCGCAAAGTGGACTTCCTAGGACACCATGTGTCTGACCAGGGTCTCCACATGGACGACGCGAAGATCACTGCAATTGCAGAGTGGCCCGTCCCCACATCTGCCAAGCAGCTTCGCAGCTTTCTATGCCTCACCAGCTACTATAGTAATTTTATCCAGGGATACGCTAGGTATTCCTACGTCCTTACCTCCACCCTCCTCCGGAAGAACCCGCCGTGGTTTTGGACACTCCTCTGCGAGGATGCCTTCCGCGCCCTCAAGAAGGCGATGACTTGTGCGCCGGTTCTTCGCCTTCCCGATTTTGATCGTCCCTTTATCATCACCACCGATGCGTCAGATTTTGTAGTAGGAGTTGTCCTTTATCATGTGTTTCCCTCTCCTCCAGATTCACCTTACCCCCATGTTCCTCCTTCCCCCCCCCCTCTTGCTGACACTGCTTCTTGACTGACGCCTACCCTCCCACCACTTCCCTCCACTGACAGTCCTCCTGTTACTTACTCCCCGACCATTGCGGAGGATGGGACTGTCGAGGTTTGTGCTGGGGATTGCCCAATCGCCTTCTACTCCCGTCAGCTACTGGCATTGACGTCATTATCTGCACGGGGCGCCCTTCACGGTGTGGACGGACAACTCAGTTGTCCAGGCTTTCCTCACGAAACCCAAACTCTCCCCTCGACAGGCACGTTGGTGGCGTGACTTATCCGAGTTCAGTTTCACCACTCAACCCATCAAGGGTGAAACGAACCGCATCGCCGATGCCTTGTCCCGCCGTCCTGATCACGATCAGGAACCCATCAATCTTGCTGCCATCTCCATCACCACCGTTGATCAGTCGGTGATCGACGCGTATCGCACTCAATACCGCCACTGCCCCGATTATCGCGTCATCCACGCGACACTGCGGAGTGGCAAAACCGTTCCTTCCTACTTCCTCGGAGAGAACGGCCTTGTGTACTGGCATGACAGATCTGGTCAGCTAGAACCACGTATCTGCGTTCCCTCCACCGGACAGCTCCGCGTCTAGGCTGTAGCAGAGTTCCATGACCAGGCAGTTGCCGGTCACATGGGTTTGCACAAGATGTTGGCTCGTGTTTGCCGCCTATACGTCTGGCCGAAGTCCAAGGACTTTGTCAAAGCCTACATCCAGGAGTGTCCTACCTGCCAGGAGGTGAACAGTGCGAACCACCTTCCGTATGGGTTACTTCAGCCCCTACCCATACTTAAGGGTCGTTGGCAGTCCATCTCGATGGATTTCATTGGTCCCCTCCGCCCACCCACTGAGCACGGTCATGATGCTATCTTGGTCGTCGTCGATCGCTTCACGAAGTGTGCACGCTTTGTCCTGTGCAGCTATCGCATTAGCGCTCATGAGGTCGCCGACATCGTCTTCGACCGAGTCGTGAGAGATCACGGCTTACCTCAGAGCATCATCTCCGACCGTGACTCGCGCTTTACCAGCACATTCTGGCGACGCCGACACGAGGTGTACGGATCCCAGCTCCACTTCTCATCGTCTTACCACCCTCAAATGGATGGTCAGACTGAGGTCACCAATAAAACTCTCGGTAATATCCTCCGAAAGTTTGTTAGGGATGACCAGCAGTGGGACTTACACTTAGCCCACGCGGAGATTGCGTACAACCACGCTGTTTCGCCAGCCACGGGGATGTCGCCATTCTATTGCGACCTCGGCTACCACCCTCGCGTGCCCGCGGATTTCCTACGACCATCGCGGTTGCGCCCAGACACTCGTTGCCCTGCGCTTGACGACTGGATCGCCCACATGGCGGCGATTATGAAGCGCGCACACCAGAGTTTAGCCGACTCCCAGACTCGCATGGCCGCACGAGCGAACCGATCACGAATGGATCATCCATTCAAAGTCGGTGACGATGTGCTTGTCGACGCACGCCACTTACAGCTCGAAGCAGATACGCTTCGCAAGTTCAGGCATCGTTTCTTCGGTCCATGCCACATCCTTCAGGCCGTCGGTTCTGATACTGCCGCTAATCCGTTCAGCTTTCGTGTGAAGCTACCTGATTACCTCCGACAGGCTTGCGTACACGATGTTTACCACGTCTCCTTGGTGCGTCCTTATCGCAGACCGTCCGAGCGCTTCGTCGGACGCCCTTATGAGCGCCCTCCACCTATCATGGTGGATGGTCACGAGGAGTTCATTGTTTCTGACATCGTATCACGCCGAGTTACCGACGATACCCCTCCACGCATCGAGTACCTTGTGCGTTGGAAGGGCTACCATGATGAGGAGGCTACTTGGGAGCCCCTCGAGCACTTGCAGCACGCCAGGATGTTGGTGCGTGCATATGATCGTGCCCGTCGTGCTGAGACATCTGCTTCTACTCAACCGACTGACCCTCTTCCTCCTCCTCCGGCTGAGGAGATTGCTGAGGACGAGCCTGCTCCCTCTGAGATCGTTCCTCAGCCGCAGACGGTCTCCTTTGAGCGTCCACAGCGCACTCATCGTTGCCCTTCGCGTTACGATGACTGACACTCTTATCCTCTATCTTTCCCCTACTGACTCACACCATCAGGTACTTCATCATCAACTTCTTCAGGATGTCAGCGTTTTGCGGCTCTGCTTCGACATCGACTCGACTGCTACTTCATCGACGTCATCGACGACTTCAGTCACCTCATTGGCTTCAGCTACTTTGGACGTGACTACTTCACGCCACCACCCTACCTTGTACATTCCCTTGCATCTGTCGCCTGATGGTTCTCACTTAGCTGGGTCTCTTTGAGTTGGGCTCACCCTTGGTATCGCATAGGCATTGGGACCGTAGCGTTATCTTGGCTTCCCTGCTCCCAGATCTAGCTCCTTCCTCCCCCAGTCGGTGAGTTGTGTGCATGTTTCCCTCACCCACTGCCCTCATCACCCTAGTGCCGGCTCTTGCATGCCTTCAGTTAGGCATATCTCCAACCTATTCCAGGCTACCCTTTTCATGGTTGACCCTGCATGGTGTCACCCTTTTGTCGAGCATTACCCGCCCTGGTGGTCTATCTGTTAGGGTCATTGGTTTTGTTTCGCTACCACTTTCCCACCTTGAGCCTGATGACCTATCCCACCTTCATGTGTGACTGCCCTTAGGAGTTTCGATTCTTAGGCTGCCTTCACCCCCTCTGAGACCATCCCACTCTTAGTGGTTCTGCGACATGACATTTCCTTGTGACATATTGCTCTTTTCCTTTCAGCACTGAGGCCACTGCCTCCAAGACTTTAGGATTGTATCATACTACATTTTATTTTCTGCTGTTAGCTAGGATATGTATACCAGACATTTGTTTTTCTTTTGACATTATGTAGCTTAGGATGCATCGCATGGACTCTGCATGGAGTTTGCTCCGCATCCTAGATTTCTCAGCTTTCTTTATTGCAGAGTTCCTCTGTTTTTGCGGATAGCGTGTTTATGGCTCTTGCGATCCATTACAGGTCTGAGGATCGTGCAACGGACCTTCATCTGCCCTGGCCTACAGCCAGGGCCTATTTGGCTATTTGCCCAGTTCGGCCTGTGGGACCAGGTCGTGGCCTGACCCCACAGGCCGTGTGCTGTTCTAGTCCTGCCCGGTACCACTGTTGGTACCAGGTCAGTCCAGTCCAGTTTGTCAGTCCGCTGGGGGTATACCCCAGCAGTGGTCTGTTTTTCGGGATTCTTCACTTTTGCAGATCTTGGAGTACGTGCGTGTTGAGTCTGCGTCGGAGTTGCGCTGTCCCTTCCAGCTCCATCTCTGTCTCCTCCTTCATCCACCCTTTGTTTCCATCCTGTCGGACCGCCATCCCGGCGGGTCCGGTACAACTGTCTGGGGAGTTCTCTTTGACCAGATCCCTTCGTCAAGGGTGCCCCCTTGCTCCGCTGCTTTTTGCCATCCAGATGGAAGGTGTCCTGAACAATATCAGAGCACATGCACAAATTATTGGTTTGGCTGCAGGACCCTCACCATATAAGGTGAAGGCCTTGGCCGATGACCTGTTTGCTGTTGTACAGAACTCCCCATCTGCAATGTTGGCACTCAAAGCTTGTTTGGATGAATATGCAGATCTTTCTGAGGCCGCCATCAATTGGCATAAATTGGCCTATTTTCTGCCAACAGAATTCTCCCTGTGTGTGCAATGGGGTATGAAACGAATAAATAGTGATGAATCGGAGCGCTTTCTGGGTGTTCAGATAGCCCTAAGGGACTGTTCCAATGCTCAGTTCTCTTATCCCAGAAAGTCTCTCACCGACTGGCACAGTGGGGAAAAGCTCCCCATATGTCAATCTTTGGTCGTGCCCTAGTGGTAAACGGGGCCCTGTTTGCTCTCCTATGGTTTGTAGGTAGAGTAAGAGGGCTCGGTCCTCCACTATACCCGCTGATTCGGAGGAAAGCAACTAAGTTCATCTGGAAACCTTTTGCTGAGGAAGAGGAGTCTTTCATCTCAAAAGTTTCTTGGGAAATGCTATGTCTACCACGTAGCGAAGGAGGCCTGGGTATGTTGGACCCGCTGAGACAAAACATGGCTATGCTATGTATGTGGCTAATAAAAGCTAGTTTAAACCCCTCGCCTGAGCGTTGGGTATACCTGGCAGAATATATTCTAGGCAAGGAATGGAATCTCAGTCGGCCAGAAGACGTATGGACATGTATGCTTCTGTATTCCTATCAGCGTCGACACGTAAAATCCGCTTTTTGGTCCACAGTCATTGTAGCTTGGAGAAAGCTTCGCCCAAACGTCTGGGTGGAACCCCGGACTAAAGCAGATTTTTTCTCCCAGCCTATTTTCGAAAACCCCAAGATAAGGGATTCTTCAGGGGAATGGCTAAAGGCGGACTCTTCTCCTGCCAGCTTTGGACGGTCATGGATAGAGAAGGGGATTCTACGGATAGGTGATTTGTGGGATGACCTGAGGGGTAATTGGATCCTAGACTCTGACCTGAGACTCAAGTTGGGCCGGGTGTGGCACCTAACGGAGAGGAAGCAATTGGTAATTAACGCTATCCCAAACCATTGGAAGGAAATTATTGCACCGAGTGGTACTGATCCTCCAGGGACATGGTTTTCCACTGTACCTACTGAACCACAACAGGTTTGGAAGCTATGCTCAATTAATTTAAATGGGGATAGAGCCTTTCAGCGCTGGGATGTTGGGAGCTCTGGTGCCCTACAATTGGATGAAGATAACCCTCCTCCACCACTTGGAGAGGAAATGCGACAGGTTCGAGTATATGAATATCTAAGGCCGGAGGGCCCCCCACTCTGCCAGCTATTTCGTCAGGGCTGCCCAATTATGCAAATGAAGCTGGACCCAGCTATGTGGGAATGGACAATAAAAGGTTCGCAAGGTTCGAATGCATGGCTACCATCCGGACATCCAGACAGGCGTCCAGACGGTCTGCTGTCCGGTGTCTGGACGCCGGACTGTAGGAGGCCAGTCCCGAAGGGACCGAAACCCCAAAATTAAAAAAAAAGGGAGGCACCCTAGACCTGTTCCTTGGGTCCAGGGCGCCCCCCGAAAAATGTTTTGATGATTTTTGGGGCCAGTATTGGCCGTACAGGGTGTCCGGACCAGCCCCTTTTCTACTTGCATCCTGTGTAGACCGTTGGAGGCAGAGCGCGGTTCCCCAGTGATGAAGGGAAGAAAGGGCGGATCGAGCCACTTCAGAGCGCTTTCCCGTCCACCCGCCGCCACCACTGCCACACACATGCACACACTCACACAGAGGGAGAGGGAGAGAGAGCCCTGGTTACCGTTGTGGACTAGTGCACGCATGTGCGCACACGCAAGAGAGAGAGAGAGAGAGAGAGAGAGAGAGAGAGAGAGAGAGAGAGAGAGAGAGAGAGAGTTCGAAGAGAGAGAGAGGGAGTTCGAACTCGGATGTCGAACTTTGAACTTTAAATTCTGAACTGCTAAAGTCTTGAACTTTATTTAATATTTACSTTTATTCAAGTTTACTGTGGAGTGCTCCTCTTTCTGTTTCTTCACTTTTTCTTCCCTTGCTGCAGTTTGTGCTTTGCAGTGACTGTGCCAGCACAATGCATGTCAAGGAATGATCATTCATGTTTGTTATGCATGCCAACAGCTATGTCTTCCCTGAACACTTCCCCTTAAGTCGAGGTTATATGATGAAACTGCATTCAACATGCATAAGAGACGTTTTTTTTTTGTTTTTTTTTTTAATTCCGGACCAATCCGGACATGATCATCTGGACCATCCAGACCGATCTGGACCATGTCCGGACGGTCCGGACTGGTCTGGAAATCCGGACGTCCGGATCATATCCGGACCGGCCGGTTGTCTGGGTCCGGATCGGTCCGGTGTCCGGGTCCGCGGTAGCCATGTTCGAATGCTACCCTGGCAGAATACTCCTTGAAATTGGGATATGCTGCGAATCAACCGCTGAAAGTCCCCAGAGTGGTAGCTTGGGCCCGGTGGGCTCAATTGTTGCATTTAGAAATCGCAGTGATCGACTCTGCTCTCACTTCTTGCTGGGAACAATTAAATATGATTGCGAACCAAAGGCACTCCTGGCTTTTATGTCTGGTCTCTTTGGTCGCTACACCATCGGCAGTGTGGCTTGCAGAGCATGGATTGAAGTTGGATTTAACATGTAAAAGGTGCCAGTGGGCATTTGAATCGATTGTTCATCTGTGGTGGGATTGCCCAGCTTCCAGCCGAATTTGGCAATGGTGTATCAGCCACTGGAACCGATTTTCGGGCACAACTTTTGTATGGGACAAGGTGTGGGCTTTGTTGGGTGGACTCCCTGAAGGCATGCTCAGGGCAAAGGGATGGGGCTATGTGGCCCAGACTACACGAGCAGTGTGTTTTGCAGTAATTTTGCAAAGCCGCAATGACCAAGTTTTCGAAAACAAAGAATGGACAAATCATCAAATCCGCAGTACCTTTACCAGCCTGATGAGACAGGCAATCTTGGCGGACTGGCGTCGCAAAGTGCACCCTCAGCAACTGTCTCAGAGCGGACTTCGTTGGTTCTTGGACACATGGGCTCTACGCGGCTCTCTGGTTCGAGTAGATGGCACACAACTTGTCTTTGATCCCTGGTTGCTCCAGGTATGATTAGCACTCCAATGTTGATTGTCCCGCATCTGCAAATCTGAAGATAGATAGAGGATCTGGTATGTTATAGCATGCAACCTGCTGCGCTCGGTTGCGGTTTTGGTTCTTAGGGCCACAGTAGGTAGGCAGAGGGATGGTTAAGATGGAAGGAGCAGTTGTTGAGTTCTATTGAAATCCTAAGCTAGGATTTGGGTTTTTTGCCCCGCTTTAGGGGCAACACATTAAGGGCTAATGAGGTGCAAGCACGTAGATAGCTGGTATGTTGAGGTTTAGTTTTATACGCTAGCGTAGGTTGTTTGAATTCTTTTGGTTTGTGTGGCTTTTAAGGCCTTGTGGTTTCTTTTGTTTCCCAGGGCTGGAGGTTCTCAGTGCAGCGGTCTGAGATGTGGCCAATTTCTGCCTGAAATCCCTTTCTACAGTGCCTGCACCTAAAGCTGGGTAATGGTCCGAGCAATATTTTTTTCTGTTTTCCGGGTTGTTTGTGGAGGGATTCCCGGCCTCCTTTCTGGTTTTAATGAAATGCAAAGTTGATTTGTAAAAAAAAAACAAAAAAAAACAAAAAAAAAACGGAGGAGTCAAATGGCACGAAAAGAGACAAAAAATGAATCAAACAAATGACAACCAGTGTTGCCAGCCTAAACCTTCGGGGGTGGGGGGTGTGGAACCCCCCCAGACATTAGGGGGGTCGAGCCCCATCCGACACTGGTTTGGGCCTCTCCAAAACCCATTTTGGGCCATATATATATCGTCAAATAGAACTGCCCGGTAAACCGTAGGCAGAGAGGGAGAAGAGGACAACAAACGAGGGGCTGTGACAAACTGTTTCGTCGGAGTTTCACCGACTTATATATATATATATATATATATATATATATATCGTTAAATAGAATATATATATATATATATATATATATATATATATATATATATCGTCAAATAGAACTGCCCGGTAAACCGTAGGCAGAGAGGGAGAAGAGGACAACAAACGAGGGGCTGTGACAAACTGTTTCATCGGAGTTATATATATATATATATATATCGTCACAAACATACAAGGTTGCCGGCCTGAACGTACGGAGGCCCCTAAGCTGACCCCCGAACGTTTGGGCGTTCGGGTCCACATATGGGGCCCGAACTTGAAGGGGCTCGGACCCCGCAAAAAAATATTTTGACACCTAAATGTTATTAGATTTTTCTGAATTTTTGTTTGTGAGTTCTTTGTGATGTAAGGTATCTCCCTCTTACTTTTGAGGCCATTCTGTACATCATCATATCATCACTTCATTTAGGCTTCAAGTAGGCTTCAAGTAGGCTCAAAGTATGCTGACAAGCACGCAGGTAACACGGGCTACAACTGTCGAATATCACAGTACATCTCAGTAGTGCTTCATAGGTAGCCCTGGCGGCTCTCTCTCCTCACAATTACATGTCAGATCAAACAATCAATTTCAATGTTCAGGGACACTGGACCCGCTTTCCAGCAGGTGCTGCTCCCCACCAATAGATGGACCCTCCCCGGGAATGGTAGCGGTGTCTGCTCCTATCAGCACCCCTAGCATCCACCCGGGTTGTTGTTGTCAAAAAAAAAAAAAAAAAAAAAAAACAGTACATCTCAGTGCTTCATAGGTAGCCCTTGCGGTTCTCTCTCCTCACAGTTACATGTCAGATCAAACAATCAATTTCAATGTTCAGGGACGCTGGACCTGCTTTCCAGCAGGTGCTGCTCCCCGCCAATAGATGGAGCCTCCCCGGGAATGGTAGCGGTGTCTGCTCCTATCAGCACCCCTAGCATCCACCCGGGTTGTTGTTGTCAAAATGAAAAGGAAGCAAAAGCGTACTTACCTTTGCAAAGAGAGCTGTGGAGATGGAGGGCCTTGCTCCACTACTGACCGAATATGCAAAACGAGCATGAATCTTCTGGTAGAACATGGGTAGATACAGTGCTAGTAGTTCAGAGTTTTGAATTGCCCCTTTTCCTGGCGGCTTGTGGGGTGGTACAGCCTCAGTAGCTTGCTATTCGTTTTTCAGTTTTTTTTTTTGTTTTGTTTTCCCTCCTGCGATAGAAGAATCTGGGCTCCATCCAGTGTCCCAGCTCAATTGGTTAGGCACGGAAGTGGCATTCAAGAGGTTGTGGGTTCAATCCCCATGGCCGCCTGTGGCACTCTTGGTGCCATCCAACTGAGATAGTGAGCTGGATCCTCCCAGTCAGCCAACACGGGTGTGTGTGCGCGTGTGAGTGGGTTGGGTGTGGTGTGTGGGAGAGTGTTGGCTTTGGACACCACCATCCAGAAGGCTGCCCAAGCCCCACTTCATAAGACCTTTTCCAAGCTTACTGTCTAGAGCATAAAGCATGCTACCCTAATGGCTGCGTAACAGTTTGTACACACATGAACTGTTGAAAGACAGTCTGGAGTCCAAATCAGGCCGCAATCAAAAGCAAGGCCTTCGCTCCACTACTCTCCAAATGTGCAAATTGCGAATGAATCTGCTGCTAGAAGATGGAAAGATACCCCAACATATTATTTGTCTTTTATGGAAGTGAAGAGTAGTGGAGCCAAGCCCAAAATAGTCCTTCCTGAATTACCTGTGGGAACGGTCAGTGTCGTAGCCCTTTTTAAATAAAAATNATCACTCACCCACACCAGATGGAAAACTCTACAGACTGTCGGTTCACACCCCATCACAAGCCAGCAAAACACCCACGAAACAAAGAAAGGTCTGTCACAGCCAAAAAATACACTCGAGACACGCCGCTGGCACTATATATATATATATATATATATACACAGCCCCTCGTTTGTTGTCCTCTTCTCTCTCTCTGCCTACGGTTTACCAGGCAGTTCTATTTGTGACGATATATATATATATGTATATATATCATCGGGAGGGTTGCTACCATCGCCTGCATCCTTATGATAGGTGTCCTATCCGTCGTGAGGGTCTTACTTAGACGTACCTTGCACCTTGACAAAAATGTGCAGGTGCGCTGAAAAGAGTGTAGAAGAATGTGCAAAGGAGGGAAACCCTTCGCTAAAACTGCAAAACAGTGAAGAATGCAGTAAAAGAAGAACATAAGCTTGTCATTTTACTTTGTTTGTACCCTGCACCCTAACACCCTCAAAGAAAAGTCCAGAGGGTGAAAATGAGAATAAAAAGTGAAGAAGGAAGTGCAGGTGCGCTGAAAAACGAATGTGGACACAGGCTGTCGAAATTGGAGAGGGAGATTCTTTGCCGGACTCTACGAGGGGGACCGGCGCACCTCCGCTGGCGCTACCGCAGCGCTCGGACCAGGCGCGTTCCGGCGGCGACGCTAGGAATGGGAGAACTTGCACGTTACCGCCATGATTCCTCCGCGTTGGAGATGGTTTGTTCGTCACCCTCTGCCATGTTGCAGGGTCATGTGGTCTTTCCACCACGTGTAGAAGCCATTGCTCCTGTCCGGATCCGGCCTCCTATACAGTAAGTGGGCATTTTTCGTCACAATACACGTGTAGTGCTATGTACCTTCAACCTTCTAATAGCTTCTACCTCGTAGGTACTCTCTCCTCACATTACCTCAACTTTTTCCACGTGCATTGCGACAGAACTGCTGAAGCTCGTTTCCATATTAGCCTCAACGATAATTCCACACATCCCTTGAAAGTTTTCTTGCCATAGGTATTCCCCTTTACCCGTGATAGTTTTCCAATAGGTCTCAGACATATTCCATGCCAAACCAGTTCATTACCTTTGTAGTTCAGAAAGGTCTGAAGATCAACGAACTTACGTACTCTGACATCATCAAGACAGAGACTATCACGTAGATCCCGGAGTATTTTCCGAGATCTGAGCTGCGCAAACGTCACACAGGGGCCAGAGTGATTGAAGATGGCAGCAGTACAGGAAGTGGTGATGGAGCGAGAGGCACGTTCTCCTCCTCCAGCACCGGAAGGGGGAAACAAGGAGGATGATCGAATGAAGGAGTTGATCCGCTTGTGCTATGAAGAAGGGATTATCCCTATGAACTTAGACCCTGGCGAGATGACAGTGGTGGGACGAGAGGCACGGTTCAAGGTGAATACCGATATCGATCAAGCTAAGGTGAACTGGCTCAAGGCGCATGCTGTCACGGTCATCTTCAAAGAAGGCGCCAGATTCCTAGTACCGAGAAAGGTGAAAGACGATATTGTTCGAGCGTATGAAGACAAACGAACTGGAGATGGCACTTTCGATCCGCTCAACTTCAGACGTGGACGGGTGAAAATAGAGAGTCCCAATGTAGTCTCTTATGTGTCAAGAAGCACGGAGGTTGTGACATGGCTAGTGAACAGGGGTAGTGACAACATCACTCTTGCGAACACGACTTATAACCTGGAGTTCAAACCATGGCTAACCAAGACACAGTTGAAGGTTCAAAGACGCGAAGAGGATGAGTCTACCTTTTGGGTTATTGCTGTTCAAGTTTCACTCGACGCGATGATGTATCTCGAAGCTCATATCAGACGCGCCATCGACCCGATCATTCTCATGCATCCAGCGGAACAGGATCGAATGAAGCCATCGCTGATCAACATCAAATTTGGTGTAGATCCAGCTAGCCGTCCCAACATGAAGGATGCAATATGGGTCGATACTTTTGAGGGAGATTCGCTGGAGGTTAAGCTGGCTTCTTCAGAAACTCCACGTTGTCGCCGATGCCGAGCTTTCTTCCACACGGAGGAGGATTGCCATCGAGGATCTCGCCAACGGGACCAAGCTTCAGGAGAAGGACAACAAGCAACACGAGGTAACACGGGTGATCAAGGACAACAACCGTTTCCCATCTATCAAGGTTCATTGGGACCACGACCATCGTCACCATCACAACAAGCGAGTTCTGCTCATCAACATCAGCAACAGCACACCCAAGGGGGCACGATCGGTTACAATAACATCCACCTCAACCCACTGGTCTCGCCCGCACTTGCAGCTTTTCAGGGAGGTTTACCTCCCCATCACGGCGATCCACAGGGAGCGAGTTGGGGCCATGTACCCCCATACATGTGGCAGGGCAATCAGCCCATGTTCAGTAAGGGTATGCAGTACGGATCAGCGTTCCAGCATTATGGTATGCCGCCGATCCATCTTGAGACATCAAGAGGCAACCTTCTCTCAGCTGGAGTACCAGGGGGTAACCTCGGATACCGGCCAGCTCCGATTCCAGTAACATCACATGGAGAGGTAGTTCCTACAACACAGGGAGCATCCAACCAAGGAGCTAATCAGCATCCAACGTCAGGGATTGGCACAAGCAGGATAAGATCGTCCACCCACCGTAAGCAGCGTCGTCTTTCCTTCGATGGAAACTCTCAAGGTCCGTGCGAGCGTGAACCATCCTACTCCTCCTCTGAAAACTCACAAGCCGCTACATCCACACCGGGCACTCCTGGTAACAAAACCACCCGACACCATGTCCCTGTTTCATTAGCACGTGGCCAATCCTCTGACATGGAAGTAAGATTACTTCCCCTGTTCTTTACGGCTGTCCGAAATGTTGTGTGGTTTATTTCCTTCTTGGGGTTAGATAGTCTGCCTGCGCTCATTAACATCCCTTCTCCAGAGGTACCGATGCCAAGTGCTATTGTAGCACTGCTTCGACCTGCAACTGCAGATAAATTCCGATTTCGATGTATTCCTGATTTGATTATGCCCAGATTGATTATGGATAACCCTCTTAAAACTGGTACCAAGCTCAAATTCTTCGTTCCCATCTCTGACATTCGTTTTACTGAAGGCCAACTAGAAAGGCTGGAAGCGAAAGGCATGCGCCTACTCCCCCTGGCCTGTATCATTGACAAGAAACGAAAGTCCAGTCTTTCACAGATCACTATTCCGCCACTCAAATCGGTTGAGTGTTTAGCGGCAGTGGATGGGAAGTTATCAAACGACAAAAAACTCTCATCTTCCTTCGTTCAATCCAATCTGCTGTCCACATGGCCACCATCATCTCCCCCACAGCAAAGCCGGACACAATCTGCCCATGGGTAAGCTCACAGTTGCCACGTGGAATCTACGGGGCTTGGGAGACACTAGAGGCAGACATAAAAAAAATAGATTAAAAGCCTGGTTACACGAGTTTAATATTCACATTGCATGTCTACAGGAAACAAAATTGGATGAGGGTAAGATTAACGAATTAGGCAACTGGTGGGATGGTCCGCAGTTGTGGTCCCCATCCCAGGGATCGAGAGGAGGTGTCGCTATCCTTGTCCACAGAGTGCTAAACCTAGAAATTATCGACCACTACGCTGACCATTGGGGCAGATGGGCATGGATAAAGATTGTTTTTGAAGGTTCCGAATGGTTGGTAGTGAACCTGTATGCTCCGACGGATAGTCGAGATAGGGTTTCCTTTTTTGATGAACTGCTACATGTCATTCCCCTCTGCAACCAAACGATTATAGCTGGGGATAGGAACACATCCCTAGATATCTCGCATAACTGCAAAGGAACGAATTTAACAAAAGATCGTTCAGCTTTGCTGTCACTTATGTCCGATCTCTAAGTTATTGAACCATACAAGCTCACTCATCCAGATAAGGAGGGATACACATGGTTCTCTAATGCTAGAGAATGTCGGTGTGGTGAGCAGACGTCTTGATTTCTTTCTTATCTCCTCCCCACTCTGGACCTGGTTTCACACATCGGAGAGTGTACCAACTCAATGTCTGATCATAAACCAGTCCACCTTACCCTGTAGTCCAACCACATTGAGAGAGGCCCTGGATTATTCAGGTTCAACACCATAAACCTGGAAGATCCAGGTCTCGTTGCTTGGATGCATGAATTTTGGATATCTGGGGAGAGTGTCTCCTCACAATACGCCTCTAAGAGTGAGTGGTGGGACGTTGGGATTGGCATTTTCTCCAACATGTTGAACGCGTTTTCCAGAATCCTCGCATTTGACAGAAATCAGACAGAATTGAAACTAAGAAAATGCATCGAGTATGTCGAACGGCGCATGTCTGAGCATCCTGTGCCTAATCTGATTTGGGGAAAGGAAAAAGTTAAGCTTCTGACCAAATTGGACGAATTGCAGACAAAAAATTCGGAAACTTGGTCTGAGCGTGTGCGGATTAAGGGTATTGTTGTGTACGATAGAATGACAAAAGAGTTATTTCAGAAGCTAATTCCGAGACACTCATCAGTTCCTATGAGAGAACTAACGCACCCTTTTAATAAGGAAGCGACAAACGCAAATGAACTTAAAACGTTGTGCGAATATGCTGCAATTTACTACAAAGACATTCTTACTTCTCGTTTGCAAGGCGCAGACATCAATGATGACTTGCACACTCAATCTGATCACTGGGCGAACACAACAACCAGACTTTCACAGACAGGGAGGTTGGACTTGGACCGTCCTGTAACAGCAAGTGAAGCTCACGAGGCTCTCAAAGCCATGGTCAAGGGCAAAGCCTCGGGGGAAGATTGTTTACCGGCTGAGCTGTACACATCGATCAGGGGTGCTCTAGGAGCACACCTAGTGAGAATCTACAACGACATTCTAACTGGAGGCAAACTTTCATCTAGCATGAGCAAAGAGATCATTTTTGTCCTGTTTAAGAAAGGCGATAGGTCTGAGATTCGGAACTGGAGACCAATCTCGTTATTAAATGTATAGTATAAACTCCTAGCTAAGATTTTGGCCAGACGACTGACCCGATATCTTCCTGATTTAGTTGAGGAAGACCAGGCCGCTTTCGTAAGAGGTAGATCCATATTTAACAATATAGTTACGGCCATCGAATCGCTGGAGGTTATCCAAAACGGTAATCTGAACATCGCAGTTCTCCTCCTTGATCTGGAGAAGGCCTACGACCGAGTAACTAGAGCATTTGTTATGATCAATGGTCATCTATCAAAAGAGTTCGCTCTCACTCGCTCCCTCAGACAAGGCTGCCTCTTGGCCCCCCTCATCTTTGCAGTGCAAATGGAGGTGTTACTCAACAATGTTCGTTGTAATCTGTCCATTAGAGGATTGCAGACAGGCCCAACTCAATGCAAAGTTAAGGCATTGGCTGATGATCTTTTTACTTTGACAGAAAATACACCAGAATTATCCGAAGCCTCAGTCAATTGGCATAAATCAGTTTTTTTTCTCCCCGCAGATTTTCGCTTGGAATCTGAGTGGGGAATGAAAAGGATATCTGATAATAACTCCGAACGTAAGGATATCTGATAATAACTCTGAACGTTTTCTTGGGGTGCAAGTGTCCTTGCTAGACTGTGCAGGGGACCAAGATGATCTGTTACTGCAGAAATCTGTAAATCGTCTCGTCAAGTGGGGCAAAGCACCTCACTTATCCATTTTTTGTCGTGCTCTTGTCATTAATGGGGCATTGTTTGCACTCCTGTGGTTTGTCTCTACTGTCCATGCACTCGGCAAACAAGTTTATTCTGCCATTCGTAGACGTGCTGCGAAATTCCTGTGAAAACCGTACGTTGAGGAAGAGGATTCCTTCATCACAAAAATCGTCTGGGAAATGCTATGCACGACCCGGGAAGAAGGCGGACTGGGTATGCTTGACCCTAGACATCAGAATGACGCCATGCTTGTCAAATGGATTATCAAAGCCAGTTTGGACAGCTCCTCTCCTCCTTGGATACATTTAGCTGAGCACATGCTTGCGAAAGAATGGAATTTGACCCGTAAGGAGGACGTATGGCAGTGTATGATGCTTTTCTCGTTCCAACGAAGACAAATTAAATCTCCTTTTTGGCGTGCGGTGATACAAGCTTGGAAGAAACTACGCCCGGATGTGTGGGTTGCTCTAGTTACAAAAGCAGAAGTGTTGTCCTAGCTAATCTTTGAAAATCCATCGATCAGACTGTCAGACGGGGATTGGATCAAAGCTGATTTAAACTCCTTTGGCAGGTCATGGATAGAAAGGGGGGTCTTACGGGTCGGGGACTTATGGGATGGAATCAAGGGTTGTTGGATCTCTGACATTGACCTCAAAAAGAGACTGGGCCAACTGCGGCATATCGAAGAGCACAAGATTCTAATTACTGATGCTATTCCACAGACCTGGAAGGACCAGCTCGCCTCGGAAGCGGTGGACACTCTAGGATCATGGTATGTAAACAGCCCAGATCCATTTGGAGCCTGGAAGTTAATTGACATTCAACCGTCAGGGAAGATAATATTTCAGAGATGGACTATAGTGGGAAAGAAGACCCCGGTCCTAGATGACAGCTTCACCCCTGAGGTAGGTTCCACATTTACACAGATTAGAGTAATCGAGTCAGTAAATGGAAAAGGAATAACCTCATATTTCTGTTTGCACAGGGTAAACCCCTGAGCCTGCTCAAGTTAGATCCCAAAGCATGGGAATGGAGAGCTAAAGGTAAACATGGTGAGAACCTGTGCATTCTGGACTACACAAAAAGAATGGGATACAAGTTGATTCTTTCGGCTAAGGACCCCCTCACGATTGCTCGTACCAGATGGCAGAAACTATTAATGGACACAGATCGAAATCTGCTCCCCAAACTATAACAAGATGCTGGTCCCAGTTGAAATCGATTCCTTGCCAAGGACAAGCTGCAATATTATGGTTAATTTCAATGGTCGCTACCCCCACTGCTGTATGGCTACTGGAACATGGGGTAAAAGTGGAGACTGAATGCATGAGATGCCACTAGGCGTTTGAGTCTCATATACATCTTTGGTGGGACTGCCCACATTCAGCCAGAATCTGGCGCTGGTGGATCGAATATTGGAATCAGGCTACAGATAACGAGTTCACATGGGACAAAACTTGGACCTTGCTGGGTGCCTCGGCAGACTGTGCCAACATCCAGAAGGGCTGGAGCTGTGTAGCACAGACTGTCAGAGTTGTAATCTGCTCAGTGATCTGGCACGGACGCAACGACATCATCTTCAACAGCAAAGAATGGACTGACAAACAAATCAAGGCCGAAATCCGCCAAGAACTAAGAAGGGCAATCCTGGCGGACTGGAGACACAAGGTTTCAATGTTGGACAATCCTGAATCTGGTCGACGATGGTTCAATGAGACCTGGGGTCTGAACCAATCACTAGTTCAAATGTCATCAGATAACAAGTTCTTGGACAAATGGTTTTATGTAGTTTAGATTACCACATGGGGACTTAACTGCATACTCAGTAGAACAGAAAGTAACCGCAGGAATATAGGTGGTAGATGTAAGACTGTGAAGGGAGTACGTCAAGAAAGTACAGGGATCCGTGCTGGACCCAGGCCTCGCTGTAGAGGTTTGCATGCAACAGGTAGTCTTTGCTAGTAGGTGTACGTGCTGGTGGTAGATTGGCAGTCTAACCTGCACACTCGGTTATGGTTCGGTCACAGGAGACAGGCAGAGGGCGAAATCTGTGGAGGGAGTGTGACCTCAGCACAAGGGCTTCCCCCTTGGGACCCCGCCCCGCCAATAGGGGTCAAATTTTGTCGATCTCTTGATATATAGGATTTTGCTTTTTTAAACCACCAGTACCTTTCCCGCTAGGAAAATAGCGGGCCTCGGGTAGGCGTCCGACCTTTGCAGCGGCCGAAGCGAGACGACGGCCGCCGATCAGATTTATCAACGGCAGTCGTCGTCGGGCCTG